TTTGTTCTCTGCCTATTCATTTAAGCTATTTTCTTCTGTTTGGAAAGTATGTTCTGAGAAATACCAGCAAACTTTGTTTTATTTTCAGTTAGCATAAATACATTTACAGGATCATCCTAGGGATACTAAATTTGACTACATGCCTAGTGTTGTTTATAGAGTGTAATAGGTAATATTTCTTATTACCTGCTAACTTGATATTCATGTTAGCATCTAGCAGAAGGTTCTCTGTTTTGAGATCCCTGTGCACTATGTGGTGGCTGTGACAATATTCCACTGCCGAAAGAATCTGCCAGAACTTCTTCCGCGCTTCACTTTCGCTCAAGTGCCCATTGGAGGTCAGATGATCTGCAAGACAAAACCAAAGAGGCACAGGATTTAGAAACGCCTGGAGGAAATTTTTCATAATCCTGCAGGTGCTGTGCTTGCTGTTCGACAGCTGATAATGCCAACCCTGGGTTTTCAATCAGAATATATCTGTAACTCAGGAATTACGACAATAAAGCAAAGATTTCTAAATCTAAAGAACTGCTAGATCCAGCAGTGAGGACTTACCAAACATTTCTCCATTCTTTGCAAACTCAGTAACAATGTACAGCATATCCTTTGTCTCCATAACCTGTGAAGACACAAAAGGACATGATTTAAAAAACAGCAGAGGTCTGTAATTTCATTCATTTTTCTACGTGTATTCTCACACATATCAGTTCAATTTTTTAGTTGCTGCAGCAGCTGGCAGTAAAGGCAGCTAATTTTGCACCACAGTGTTCTCTCCAAGCATACTGGTAATGAAAAAGATAACAAATCAATCCTTATGTGCCTACACTACACAATGGCTTCTCAGGCCATTGTTCTTCTCACCATTACCATGCCACCTAATCTCCATACGGTAATAGATGAGCATTTCGATAATTCCACACACTTCCCTGAACTCCTCTTTTGCTAAAATACTCACATACAGTTTTACACTTCATTTGATGTATTTTGAACGTGCAAAGAACACTTTATCTCAAGTTGTCTTTGTTTCAGGGCTAGTGGGGGCTCAGATCAGCAGAAATAGCTGCAACTTGGACAAATCAAGAAGGAAGATCAAATCCTCCGCTCCCGTTTGTTGTTGGCAGGGACACGTCCAGCCTCCTGTGCAAGTGACAACAGGCTGCTGTTTGTGTAACAGCAGTGCTTGATGCACATCAACAACTGTCAATGTATCAGCCAGAGTTGACCTATCAATCTAGTATCAACTTGCTTTGATATTTCACAATTTTCTCCTTTGGAGAAAAAAAAAAAAAAAAAGAAGAACCAAAACCTTAATGATGAATGAGAAGTGCTGAGCATTTCCAAATTCATCTTCAGTTACCACAGCACACCTTTCAAATGCTGCGTTTCAGATTTTAAAAAAAAACCATTTCCCCGGAAACATTTCCCTCTTAAGGAGCAGATACTTTGTTTTGGAACCGGGAGGCTCACAACAGGTTAACAATCAAGAAGAAATAGCGTCAATACTACTTCAAAGGCTGTAATTTCCAGGGTCCTAACATGTAACCTTTTTCAAAGACTCTTGTCCTCCCCTCTCTGCAAGTACACACAGACACAAAATGAAAATAAACAAACAGGGAGCAAAGGAAGAGAGGTTCCCAGTTTAAAAAACTGAAGGAAAGTGTTCTGGGAAAGTTGCCAGCTGGATGAAATTAAGACGCGGTGCTGAAACTAAAACAATGATGAAATAATACAAGAACGCACACCCTACATTGGCATGTCATCTAATTCCATCCCTGCTTCTCAGCCTCCACCAAACAGGTGAAGCATCAGTTACAACAACAAAGAAAAGAAAACTTCACTGAAAAGAAATTATGGTCCACTACCAACGTCATTTGCTCCATCAAGTGAAGTGGTTCAACTAGATGGAATTTAACCTGCTTTTCTAAATGCTTCAAAATAGTATTTTCACCCACATCATTCCACTGAAATGAAATCAACCGAACTGTTAGAATGTTTCTGTATATCCTATGCTGCCCCATGGGCAGCCATGACGTCAGCTGTTAACACAGAACCACTTTTGTTATGATGGTTAATACTACAAATACAAACACTTCATGTGTGTCAAGGTCTTCAGAAATAATGCCTTGCCAAAGCACCTGCCTTACTGGCTCTTCAGCCTTACATGTTAATTAAACTTTTTTTTTTTTTAATTTCTTTTTAAGCTAACAAGCCCAACGGTAAGATCACAGCTGATAATAGTATTTACTACTCCACACAGACTTTCAGACCTGCTGCTTCATCCACGTCCTCCTCTCTCCCCCCTGCCCTTCCAGACAGGTCCAGACAAGCTGATACCTCATCCCTGCTTACAGCACAGGCTTGGACTAGATGACCTCTAAAGGTCCCTTTCAACCCAAACTGTTCTATCATCTTCTTCTTAAATCCACACGGCATTATTTAAGATGATTAAGAGGAACTTACACCAAAGGCTAATTAGATCGAATATTTAGAATTTGCAAAGCAGCCCTCGTGATCCTTGTGATCCTGTTTTCTGCATAACACAATAATTTGTTCCTATGGTTAAAACCACCCATTAGTGCAGAAACTGAACAGCTCTACAACAAAATTCATGTTATGAAACTCTACAAGGTCACAGATATTTAAAATTCACTTTCAAAACTACACAAAGTGGAAAAGAATAACCAAACAGGTCATTTTTTAGTATATTCTAAGATACCAACATTTACTGCCTTTTAATTTTTTTACTAATTTAATTCTTACATTAGAATTTCACTTAGAGTTTCTACTTAGATTAATTAGGTTTAATTGTTGTTGGTTTAAATCCCTTCCACTTAAGGCAAACTCAACTTTTGTGCTCCCTTCTCTACCACCCTACACGAGTTTAAGCCTTCCTCTTATCAAAAGCACGTAACAAGTTCCAGTCTTCTAAACTAAAAAAGCAGAGGAGATAGGAAAGGCAAGTTAATCATAGAAGTTCAGATAACCTGCTCCACGATCCGAAACAAACATCAGCCTGGTTTAAACTGTAAATTTTACAGTGCATTTTGTCAAAAAGCTGTCTAATGTACCAGGGTCTTGTTCAAAGAATGAAGAATTTTAAAATACCCCTCTTATTTCAAATGGTTTTCGAAAAATATTTCAATATGCATTCTCTCTGCAAATATTAGATGTAAAATCATGTGCAAGAGAAGAGCACAAGTATATCTCATCTACGTGCTGCACTCCAAAGCTGAACTCTTACCTGATATAGCTTGATAATGTGGGGATGATTCAAAAGCTTCATTATCTGAACTTCTCTATAAATCTTCTCCAGATTGCTTGGGTCTAACCTTGTTTTGTCTATTATTTTTATTGCAACCTGCAGATTTAAAAACAACCCCAGGTATTACAAAATAGGTACTCTCACTGTCCAGATACCTTTTAAAAAAAAAAAAAAGACACCCCCCGCACAGACACGCCACTTACAAAATCCAAGTAAAGTAGCTTTTAAAGTAGCTTTTTAAGTATGGACTTGACAAAGCTGATTCTGTTTCTCTGAACCACACAGAATTCCCGACACAAAACGTTTTCGTTTTTCTTTTCTACGTCAAAGGATTACACATAAGGTAGTGAACAGAACTGCAGAAATTAGCACTGGACAGGATTCTGCAAATCTTTTAATCCGTCCCATGCCAGTGAAAAAAAGATTCCTCTAACAGACTATTTCCTACTGTGGTGACTGATACGATTTAAACATGCACTAGAAATATAGAAACGTCTGCACTACCCATTAATAAATTATTTCTGCGAATAACACGCCAAGTTCTTTGTTCTTGAATGAGAAAAAAACTAAACCCACAAAAAGTCTTTCGAAGACCCTTAATGTGTCGGGCTTTTCAGCAAACTGAGTGTGATTCAACGAAGCTACCGTAACACTCAGACATGGGGTGTTTTGAGGTTGGTTTTTCACATATATTCTCGCTCGGTTTTAATTTTACACACAGCGCGAAAACTTGAAGATCCTCAGAGGAGGAGCCGCATCAGCCGCGGGTTCCGCAGCTCCGCGGAGCCGCCGCGCTCCCACCGCCATCCCCGGCCCTCCAGCGCACCCACCTGCGTCTTGGTCACCCTGTGCCGGGCCAGCTTGACCACGGCGAAGTTGCCTTTCCCCAGGGTCCTCTCGATGTCGTAGAAGCCGACTCGCAGGGGCCGCTGCGCGGCCGCGGGCGCGGAGCCGTACTCTGACATGATCACCATGGCTCAGGGCGGGGGGCGCGGGCAGCGCTCGCCGCGCCTTTAGGACGGGAGCATCCGCGCTGCCCCGGGCTGCTCGCACCTGCACGGAACACGGCACGGCTCACACGGGCTGTCCCCGCCCCGGAGCCCCGTCCGAGCCGCCGGCAGTCCCGCTCTTGCCCGCCGGAGCGGCCGTACCTGGCGGTGCGGTGCGGGCGCGGTGCGATGCGCTGTGTGCGGCTCAGGGTGTGCGGGCGCGGGTGCGTGTGCGGGCGGGTGTGTGTTGTGAGCGTGTGTGTGTGTGTGCGTGTGTCTGTGTGTGTGTGCGCGCACCGGGGGGCAGGCGGGACCACGCGGGATGTCCCGGCCCCCCGCCCTTTCCCGGCGCCCTCCTCCATCCACGCACACCCCGCCTTCCCTGCCTCCCCGCCCGCCTCCTTCCCCCCGCCCACCGCCGAAAGCCGAGACGGGCCCATTGACGTCACTTTGACGCCAGAAGGACGCGGTCCCGGGCGCGGGGCTGAAGGGGAGCGAAGGCACCGGGACGTTGCCAGGGAACGGGCGGCGCTGACGCGGGCGCTGATGGAGCCGTCGCCCGGGAGACCCGGGGGGGCGGTGACGTCAGGGCGGAGGGAGGGAGGGATGGGGTGGGATGGGGTGAGGGGTGGGGGGGTCGTCGGGGTCTCCTGCCCACCCCGCCCCATCCCATCCTCCCGCCGGGGTCGCTCCCCGCCCCCGACGGCGCGTCCCCGCAGCGCGGCTGCGACCACCGCGCCGGCCCGGCGACAGCACCTGGCCCTGGTGACCCCCGGTGACCCCCGGCGGGGGTGCCGGGTCCCGCTGTCCGCAGCTACAGAGGCATTCCCAGCCCCGTGTGTCGGGGACACCGACAGGGACAGTCCAGCTGGCAGGAGGAAAAGTGCGGCTGCAGAGCTGCGGGGGACATTTATCCCTAATCCCTGTGAACGCCCACCCTTCGCAGTAGTGCCGGCGGTGGGACATTGACCCGCCTTCCCCCGTGCAAGGACGGTTTCCCTGCCCGTGTTTTCCAAGGTGTGATGGAGTAGGGAGGCTGCTGCCAACCAACCCTCAAGGGCTGAGGCCACCCCGGTGTGGGGACAGCAGCCCTCTGGGTCCACCAACTGGGCGCAGGCAGCAACACAAGTAATAATAAAGAGCCCATATGTTATCCTAGAATTATAGAATGGTTTGGGTTGGAAGGGACTGTAAAGATTATCTTGTTCCAAGCCCCCTGCCATGGGCAGGGACACCTTCGAAAGACCAGGTTGCTCAGAGCCCCATCCAACCTGGTCTTGAACACTTCCAGGGATGGGGCAGCCACAACTTCTCTGGGCAACCTGTTCCAGTGCCTTGCCACCCTCACAGTAAAGAATTTCTTTCAAATATCGAACCTGAACCTACTCTCTTAAGGTTTGAAGTCATTCCCTCTTGTCTCTCAGTCTTTCCTTGGAGGAGAGGTGCTCCATCCCTCTAATCATCTTGGTGGCCTCCTCTGGGCTCCCTCCAGCAGGTCCAATATATATACATGCAGCCTTGTGATACTATTGCAACTTACTGCTACATTCAAAATATACCTGCAGTACTATTATGTCTCCTGAGTCTGGAAGCGAGGCTTGGGAAGTTTCCCTTTGGCACACCAGGGCTGAAAGAGGTTGTTTGGGATTGAACCTCAGCATCCTGGAAGCTGAGACTCCTCTCAAGGTCAAATGTGAAGCAGCAGATGCACAGGGTTCAAACAGGCAGGTCTTCAGCCTTCACCCAGCAGGTGACTAAAATATTTGTACATTTGGAGTCAAATTCCAGTTTAGCCTCAAAAATAAGTCTTGAATGATGCCAGCCACATCTGTTAATCTTCTGTATTACAGTCAGTCAAGGCTCTTTTCAGGCAGGTAATTCAATCGTCTGTTGGGTTTCCAACTGGAAAACTGTCCCTCTAAGTCTGAGCCCCTCACCTGACTGTCACAGCCTGTGGCACACTGGGTAGTGACCCTTCTCTTCCACCCCGGGACACAAAATCTGGATTTGTCAGACTGCTTGAAATAAGGTGATGCTTTGGGTGGAAGAGATGTAGCTCTGCTTCACACCGAAGGTTGATACCAGACTCTTTTCGGTGGTGCTCAGTGACAGGATGAGGAGCAACGGCCATAAAATAAAACACAGGAAGTTTCACCTCAACATGAGGAATAACTTCTGTACATGGAGGGTGGCAGAGCACTGGAACAGGCTACCCAGGGAGGTTTTGAATTCTCCCTCTCTGGAGACATTTCCAAACCCACTTGGATGTGTTCCTGCGTCACCTGCTCCAGGTGACCCTGCCTTGGACTGGATGATCTCCAGAGGTCCCTTCCGACCCTGACTATTTTGTGATTCTGTGATTGTTTTCACATGTTGGTGGTGGTCTCCTTAAGGCACATGGATGACTCCTAAAGAGGCACCCACCAGGGGAGGAAAGTGACCTTTTTGTCAGCTTTTGTAAATTTAAAGATGGGACGAGGAAAATGTGGTGCTCTATATAAATCAAATACGTGAGCTGTGCGTCATCAATGCACTTGAGAGAGATCCATCAGGACGTTTTAGCGGAGCAAGCAGGACTTCCCCTGCTTCCCTATATATATATATACATATATATATACGTATATATATATATATATAACATTAACTCTTCTGCTTGTGTTACCTGCTGTAATGTTAGTGCTAGTCCTTTGGCGGGCCAATTACACTACAGGCTCTTTCTCCTACAAACACAGAGAAATAACACCTGAAATTAACCCCCAAACTTCCTTTATACACAAAAATCATGCTGTCTCAATGCTTGTTTTCTGTGAGCAGTCAGGCTGGCAGTCTGCAGGGCTTGAATGGTTCTGGGAGAGGCAGTGGCTTGCAGAGCTGGTGGTCAGGAGCTGAAGGACAGGAGCTGCTTACATGGTGTGACCCAAGTCATGGGACTGCTATGGCATGTGCTGTAAAAGGGGTAATAGCACACAGCCAGCCCAGGCTATTGTAGCATTCAATTAGTGCTTACACAGTGCCTTGAATAACTCACATGAAAAGCTGACTTATTATTATTGTTATTATTAAGCTAACAGTATATTCTCTGTGGAGCTCATGAGGAGAAGCTGACGCACAAACAGCACATACAGTAGCAGCTGCATGTGAACAGTGCCCCAGGAGTTATAAAGGAAAAAATTACCTTAATAATGGCTCCTCTGCTGTGGTGGGATTTTCCTCCCTTTAATTATAGTTGCTGCTTTCATTTGAAATTGATTAAGTGTTTTAGGATGGCAAACAGAGCTGGTCTTTTTGGAAAGAACACTCAAAGACAGCCCCAGCTAGGAGCGCAACATTTTTATTTCTTTTTAAAGGGCTCAGAATTTCTTTCTTCCCAAATAGGAAGAAGAGGACTGGATTTGGTGCTTGTGGACACCTGTGCCACAGGACTGCCTCGAGAGTGTCAGACCTCACTAGAGGAGAATCCACCATCCTGATTTTAATTAACTGCAGTAGATGGAAGAGGCAAGAAGGACTATCAAGTGTTGCTGCCTGTGGAAGGTACTTAAAGTGACCTCTGTTGCAAAGGGACATTTAACATATGCAGTGAAGGAGAGAGCACCAAATTTTTAAGAGTTATAACACTTTTATGATTTGCTGAGAGTTAAAAGACCCCCTGCATCTATTATTTTCAGCAACCTTTTTGTATTCCTCTTCCATTTTCGTTCATATGTGTCACAACAGCTTTCACCAGCACTGCACAATTTTGGTGGTGTCATATTTACATGGTTTTTCTACCACTTTCACTGTGAATACTGTGGAGGAATCACAAACCTCTTACACAGCCGTGTTCTGTCGCTTCACAGAGGTGCTTCTGTTGGGAAGGTTGAGGCTTCTGCAGTTTCTGCTTTAACATTTCTGCTGCCCTCTGGTGTTTCGGATATCCTGAACGAGGAATCACCTTGGATGATTCTGTGATATCCATGGTCGGGAGAGGTGTAATTACAGAGCTGGCTTGTACATAACCAGGGTAGAAGAGCGAGGAAAGTGAGGAGGACATTCCAAAGCATATTCACAAGGATGTTCCTTCGATTTCTCTCGGAAGACGGAGGAGCTGGGAGGATACAGCTGCTCAGTTTTTCCATTGCAGCAGCAATGTGCTCCCTCCCTAAGGGTGGCATGATCTATGTATGGCAATATACATGGAGACTGATGCCTTCCAGAACTCATCTTGCAGATATTTCCAGCAATTCAATCTTTAGTCATTTCACTCAGCATTTTCTATCAGTTTCAAAACAAACTAACGACAATAGCAACTTTCTTCGCTTGGCAAAAAGAAAACAAACCGAGAAGTGGAGTCATTCCTTTCTACCCATTTCACCCTCCACAGCTGAAGTCAGCCTGGATTGGTATGGCAGGTTTGCTGGGGCACTATTTACTGTACAGCTGTAGTTTTTTTCCCCAGAAAATAACAGTGTGATTATTTTGAAAATCGTATTTGTTAGGCTATTTTACGCAATTTAATTGAATAAAACCTTGCTGAAGTCAATAGTGTTGTTCCTGGTCACACCAAGTTAGACTCTGGCCTAGAAAAAAAGTAAAATGGGAGGTGTCACATTACAAAAAAAAATATAGTGACATTTGAAGTAAAGAAGATGAGATAACCAACTAAAATACTTGTAGGCTTATTTTAAAGACAAAAGCATTATCTTGAAAAAATGGTGCATGACTGTTTCTAATACAACTTCAAAGTGTCTTTGAATTGAAAAAATCCAGGCTGCCACTGCAATTTTGGCAAAAATACTTTAAAGCTAGCATGTCCTTACTGAGGTACCACAATGCTATGCAGAAATATATTTCAGACCACTGGAATGTCTTTGGTCATAATATTGCATCACAGTTACATAATTATGATCACAACAATGGTCTTTTGTCATTAAGGTTTATGACATTCCATAATTAACGAGACAATTACATTTCACTGACATAATACATTGAGCTTGTCTTGCAGAATAAAGGGACATAGACCTCCTCTTCACCATTTATCCTTATCTAGGGCTCAGAAATAGCTTTTTAAAGGATCACCACCAGGTATGTTTGGGTTCTTTACTTGCCTACATATAATGTGTTACAAAATCTACTGTTAATACCAAGGCTCTGACTGTCTTTGTTTATATAAGGGGAAATACAAACACTGAACAAACAAGGTGGTCTGTGCCCTTGAGAGTGCCTCTGTTTTATTGTAATCATTTCCCTTCTGTGTTTGTCACTCTGATAGTGCTGGGGCATATGAACCTGACTGGCAACTGGCAACAAACACACGAAAAAGTTATGTAAAAAAGAGAAGTGGGATAGGTTATTTCCATTGCCCAGGGTAAATAAAATGCAGAAGCTGAACAACTAGCACTGAACAATGGCTTTTGAATTAGGGTTTTTTTCCAATTGTTTAAGCTTAATGACCAAAGGTGGTGATAGTAGTAAAAGTGACTACAGACCTGTAGTCCAACTGTGCCCATTTAAATTTAACTGAAAGTCATTTTGTTTACACCTCTTAAAACATCCATCTGCAAGATATCCTGTAAGGCAGAACATGTATTCTATCAAAATGTGTTGAGCAAAGAGGACCAAAAACCTCTGGGGCTGAGTACATTAATCTTAAGTTACTTTTACTCTTGGCATATTAGCCAGGTAGGCACCTTCCTGGGGCAGAACCACCTGGAAATCAAATGCTTACAGACAAATTTGGAAATGGCATTTTTCCACCAAGACTGTACAATCTTCACAGACAAAAGAGACAACAGGTAAGGAAAAGATGTAATTTCCCCCATTTACTGTACCTCCTTTACTACTGGGAGGGCAGAAGGACTACAGGATGAAGTGTCTTGCCCATGGTAGTGATGCAGCAAGTCTGTGGCAGAGCTGTGAAACACATTTCTGCGTCCTGAGCTCTGGAAAAGTGCTTTAACTGCAAGGCCAGCCTTCACACTGAAATTAAGTGAATAACGTTAATCTTACAGCTGGTGTAAGTACAGCTGTGTACATACAGGGTTTAACACAATTTATACAATAGGCAGCTCTTATATGTGATTTTTTCACAGGCTGGGCTTTCTGGGCTTGTAATTTAATGTTAGCCCCCCCACTCCTGGCTGGAGTGTGGACAGAGAGGCAGGTCAAACGGAGTCAGCTGCTTTCTGCTGCTCCCAAAGCTTTACCACTCTGTGCCAGCAGTTTCTGTTGAGAGCTTGTGTTGCTTCTCACTGCTCCCTGAAACATCCCACACACTGTAGTAGCTTGTGTGTTGCTTTGTTGTTTGGGGTTTTTTTTAGGCCACACCTGATCAGGGAGCTTTAGCAGTGTAGGATCAGTCGGAAGCTGGCAGCTTCCAAAGCAAAAAACAAATGCCGAGTAGACATCAGATATGAGAGCAGAGGTGGCAGGGAGGCATGTCCACGATCCGTTTGACAGGGGATTTGACTCCTGTGAAATTATCCTTCCCCTTCTCTGTGCCAGCGTCCTCCCTGCTGACTGCTGTGCACACGGCTGTAATCTGAAGCTGTCAGTCCTCCCAGGGCCCCAGACAGAGATGAAGGTTGAAAGGGTCCCAAGACTGAAAAGGCTATGGACAGGGTGAGAAGGAAACAACAAGCAGCAGGGAAGCAGTGCTGGAAACCCCTTGAAATGGTGAGGGAAGAAAACCCACCGACACCACTGAGGGAAGGCTGGTTGTGTAAAGAAGCAGTGCTGGGGTAGGGATGATCTGCCCTGCTTGGGTCCTGAGCTGTCTAACAGGAGTTGGGACACTCAGTCATACCATTGTCACCCTATTGTCACCTCATTGTCCATGTCTGGTGGTTTCACAGGCTCTGGGCACCCCCAACCTGAGGCAGAGCTTGTGGGAACTCCACATTGAAGCTACAAATTAGCCAAAACTCAAGGTCAAACTCTCTTGTGCCCCTTTTCCCTTGCCTTGCCTTGGATCTTTTCTCTTTGGGATCCCTACAAAAAGGTTGGGGAAATTCTGCCAGCTGGATGGATGTGGTGGGAAACCAGCCTCCTTTCAACAAGTTTGGGAACTTTCCCATGGGTGGGCCAGGGGACTGAAGGCTGTTGCCCTTGTCTTTATGGCTGCTGGGGTTGCTGTGAGGTGTTCCCAGCTGTCCAAGACCTGCCAGTTGTTCTCCAGCTGGTGCAGATGGCCTCACTGGGGACTGGATGTCTGTTCCCGTGCTGGGCTGGAGGGACAATCTATGAGAGCAGGAAGGGAATTCAGCCTCATTCCTTTAGGACTGACTGTCCCCGTGTCCCATTGCATTTTACAGGAGTGCTGTAGGATGTGGAGGTGCCCCGGCGGTGCAGCTGTGGGCGAGGTGGACGCGTGCCCAACAGGAAGCGTCCTGAGACAATGGAATTCGCTGCACACGTATGTTCTTTGCTGATGGCTGTGCTGGAAACAGTGACCCGAGTCTGGCAGTTTTGATGTCCCCTTGCTCCAGCCTCCACACCCCTCCCCTCGCTTGTGAGTGATTCATGCAGAAAGCTGCAAATCACTCCCCAGGGACAAAATGAATAAAGGCCCCCCTCACCTTTCCTCTATATTCATGCATTAGTGCCTGAGATCCTCCATACTCTTGCTGCAGTTTGAGATGGAAAGACAATTGCTTTCCCAGTGTCCCAAGTAATTCTTTCACCTGCTTGTGCCTGCCTGTGCCTCTGCCAGGAAAGGGGGAATGCACAGGCTCCTTTGAAGAGGGTTTTAATGGCATTTGTCCACTGCCTACCAAAAAACCTGGAGCTTCTCCCCTCCCCCTTCTCCTTCTCAACTTTGCTCACTCTGAAAGAAAACAGAAACAAAATAAAAGTTGCATTAACAGCACAGTGTTGGTGGTACAGTTATTCCACAGGGAAAACCCGATATATCCACCTATTGTCTGAGCCACTACTAAGAGATCCTTAGTCAATGAGCAAGTTACGAAAACAGGTATCCTTCCTTAGAGATTGATGTGATATTTGCATCTGATATTTCCTGCCATACAGCACAGATTGTTTGTGCCGATGGACAAGTGAGAAACGCGGCTTTCCAGAGGGGGGGAGAAGGACTGTTGCAACACACCTTTATTGTCCTCCCCTGGAACAGCGTATACGATTCATTTTCCATCCATCCCTGCAAATACATTTCCTATAATTGCCGCTCTGTCAGATGCGCTGTAATCCGTCCCCTCCTACGTCAGCTGCATTGTTGTAACCCCCCTCCTATGTCAGGAGAACTGTAATCCTCCTCTTGCATTACATCAGGGCTGCGTCTCTGACATTTTCATCGGCGTTCACCCAAAGTCTGGCAGAGCAGGGGCAGAGAGAGAACAAAACGCCACTTTCTGGACCATGAATATGATGAGTTCTCCAGCATTTTGGGCGTGCATGTGGGTGTTTGGAAGTGAGGTCAAGCGCATTTTACACACTCAGAAGCTGGCACTCTGCAGCCACACACCACACAAAGGTTCCTATTGGTGCTGAACGTGAGAAGCTCAGCAGAATTTTTGTGTGGTACTGAATCATGCATCATACGTTCTTTTACACGCTGGTTCCACACGCGGGCTGTGGCGGAGGGGAAGACAATAAATAAAGTTTCAGAGAACAAAGGGTTAGCAGAACTCCTGCTTTGTAAGCCCCTAGCTGATGAAATTACTCCAGTGAAGCAGGAGCGGGGGAGGTGGGCTGGCTGGCAGTTTGTGAGTGGGACACCAAGACAACCCATTTTCAAATGTGCACACGCGTTACGCTTCGTTCCTGGGGCTCAGCAAGACCCTACAAACAATAACACAAAGGAAATTTCTTACGTGCTGTTCTTGGCACAAGCCAACCCTGAGTTTCCGGGGAAGCAAAGTACAGGGCATATGGGATCTAAATATATGCAATCGTGGATGACAAGAAACATGGAAGAACTTTTTGGATGGAGTTGTTTGTTGACATCCTGAAAATATCTCTCACAAGATGGATAATGACAAGGCAACTCAAAACCAGATGGTTCTCCAGTGATGGTTTCACAAGAGCTTTAAGTTTGGGGTGGAGTGAGCAGTTTGTGCTACTGGGGCAGATTGATTGTGACTCCTCAAATAGGAAACCAGATGTTCATACTTCAGCTAGAAATGCTCCCCTTGTTACGCAGCTGATACAACTAGAGAGCACACAGCTTTGTCTCATATTCAGTAGGACATGTTATCTTCAAGCAGTTCTTCATGTTGCAGGCTCTTGATCATCTTTTGAGCTGGCTCAAGCTGTTTCCTTTCTGTCGATAGCCGTCACCTCTCAAAAGATCAGTGACATAGATCTCCTTTTCCTTGCCTAATTTATGCTTTTCAGTTTGGCAGATGGTTCCCCAGTCTTGTAGTACATACCAGGGGAAAACTCTTACAACAAGATCTGCAATTGCTCATTGTTGTGGTTAAGATAGACTAGTGTCTTGGCTTAAAGAGATGCCTTTTTGGAAGATATTATAATTATATGAGTATAGCAAGATCATATTCTATAGGTATTTATTTAAAGACTAACACTGCTAGATGCATAAAATGTAGAGGATCAGATTAGGAAGAGACCTAGTTACACAGAAATTCCTACTGAAAGCAAAGGTGAGAAAGTCAGTAACTGAACTCATCTGAAAATTTTATTTAGGTGCTTCTATAGGAGCTGAAATCTGTGACATGGATTCCTCCAGCCAGCACATTCCTACTTTGGCAAGTCACTCATGTCAGCAGGGCTTTTCGGGCTGAAAGCCTTTAAATTCTTTCATTTGTAATGTAAGGAGGAAGACTGTGAAGAAGGAGAACAAAATTGGTATTGATTTGCACTGGGTTCCAGTGCAAAACCCCTTCTGGTGGGTCTGTGTGAGGATACACAAGTGCCTTACTCTGTAGCTGCAGATGACATATCCTCTCTGGGGCAATGATCTGGGATTGAGACAAATGGTGGTAATAAGATGTATAGTCTGGAAACCCTCCATTGGCATCTTCTGTACTTCACTGCGTGCCAATAAAAACTAGTGTGACGGCCAAACCTTTCCACAGACCCATTTGTTAATAAGAGATACAAGATAAGGAATTCAATATATTTTCACGTTCACCCCTTTGACAGCATGACATTATTCTGGTGGTTCGTAATATCAGATGGGAACCTGGAGTTCAAATTTATAACCTACTAGCAATATTGATAAATATTTTCCTCAGACAAAAAGTAAATTTCTCACTGAAGTCAAAGTGATAAGCCATAAAGGGATATGTGCATTCTCTGTTAGTGCTGGAAGGTACTTCTGATGCTTTTGGGGAAGCAGAATAAGCTGCCTTACAGAAAATGCATTGAATTGCAGTGTAGTTGGGACAAACTACAGGATGGAGCAACACTCATCACCACAAGTAGGATGGGGTTGTGGAGAGAACATCTATTACTGCATCTTCACAAGACAGAAAGGTATTCAGAATCTCTTTTTTTTTTTTGGTTCTTTTTCTTCTGTTTGGGTTTTTTTCCCTGTTTTTTTTCTTGAACAGGAGGCTTGTTAAATAGCACAGCAGCCACATGAGCATTTAGAGAGAATGCACTTGTGCAGCAACCTTTGTGAAAAGGAAATATTGGTTTGGGCATCAGGGTTTAGAAAAAAATGCCGAGACCAAAAACCCAACAAGCAATGAATAGTAAAGGCATGAACAGAGTACAATTCACTGGGTGCCAGTCACTGGAGCCATTTGCTGAGGAATTTCTAATGATAACAAACTCCCATCTGAATTCTCTGCATCCAGCTTCATCAACAGACAGAAAGACAATTTCTCTTGCTCATATTATTGATGGCAAATTGTTTGCCTGGCATTAGAATAGAGCAGAGTGGAGTTATATGTCTCATCTCTCCTGAAGAGCCTGGGATTTGGGTTCTCTGCTCACTGCATTGTGAGGAAAACCTGGGAATGCCTGAAGGTGAATTGAAGGACATTATCACTGCAGCCAGGATGGTGGAAGTGAAATTATAGGAAACAGCGATACTGGACTGGCACTGCAGACTGGGAGGTGTCACAGGTTCCTGGGCAGAAAGAAACAGGAAAAAATTTGCTGCCCTTCATCAGAGAGTGATGAGGAGTGAAGAGATGTGCTATTTATGATAGTGAAAGTGCACCTTCTCCTGACAAATTAGTCGAGTATCCACAAGAACTCATTAGTCTCAGTAGGACAGGTTTGCTCCAGCTGGAATGAGCACCCTGAACCACCAGCACATCTTTTCACCCAGGGCTTTGCTTTCAGGCCTACAATGTGTGAATAATGTGTGTGTGCAGGCACACACCTGTGTCTGGGGGAGGAATCCCTTCTAAATCATCTTGCTGCTCCACATGGAGACAACATGCCCAATGCCTGACATTACTTACCCCTGGCAGCCCAGGATGGAGGGTGAACCATCAGGAGGCAGGTGCAGACACCCCTTGTAGGGAGGATTTCCACGTTTTGTCCATTCATATTTCCATTTGGAATGAACACTCGGGGGATGTGTCCTTGCCAACTGCACTTGTATCATGATGTCCTGGCACAGAGGGACCAGCAGTCCTGCACTGCCCAGGAAGGACAGGGAGACTTTGCAGAAGTATCACCAGCATAGGCTGCTGGCCTTTACAGTCTCATTGGTGAATTGTTTTACATAAAAGCCACTAGTGAACACAGTAAAAACACAGTGAGTGATAAGCCAGTTGTCCTAATAAACAAAGATAAAAAAGGCTGGGTTCTATCCTAGAATAATGGCAGCAACTTTGTGTCACTGGAGTAGCATGAGAAAGCTGGAAGCTTATGCTGGATACACGGTGAGGAATAAACTGGAGCAGGGAGCAACTGAGCTCTCCTGGGAAGGGAGGATACCTTGCCAGGCCATGCCCCACTTCTGAAAGTGTGGGAACCAGCCATTCCCCCACCAGATTGGAAAAGATGAGGAAGGACATGCTCAGGGATGCAAGGATGCTTTCTACTGTGCTTCCTGAGCTCTGACCTGCCCCGCTCCAGAATCTCACCCTGATAACAACCTGGCAGCATCACCATTCCATTGATTAGTGATCATCCCCTGACCTGTATCTCTCCCAGCCTGTGCTTGTTACCTGTCCAGGTAGGAAACAACACATGGGTATCTCCCCTACACCTCAGGCAGTTTTCCCCTGAGTTGGGAACGCCCCGGGCCTCTTTGGCAGCCACAACTTTAGAACAAATGCATGAGATCCTCCCTGTGTTTTTACAACCTACAGCCCCCATGAATGACAGGAGGAGATCCTGTGTTTGTTCTTCAGAGTGGTGCCTTGGCTCTGGTCCCATCTAGGGGATGAGCTGATAGGAGAGCAAGATCAAGCTCTCACCTAGAGAAAAACAAACCATATGCACTGGTATGTCTTGTTTAATAGGACCTGCTGGTGCACTGGCCACAAGCTTTGCTCTAGACACTGCCCCAGTGCAGTACAAGTGTGAGGGATGCTGCACCTGGTCAGCTTCTGCATCCGTCCCACCAGTGCTGGACCACTGCTTGCAGTTGGGCTCAAGGCATCCTTGGCCTTAGAGAGGGTTCATTTTGCCATACTCCAAGTTGGCTCCAACAGTGCATTCCTACCCACGACATGGATGGTTTCTCGGAATGGCATATTCCCCCAGAAAGATAGAAAGAAGGGAAAAAAAAGCTTTAAAAGAAGGAAAATCCTCAGTGACCCCTGCTGGACACAGACACAGGTATTGCCCTTGGGCCTCCCACTCACTCAAGTGCCATTGGTATGTGTGCCTGGCTGAAGCCCTTGGAAGGGAAACAGCAGTAGTTAGGCTAGAATAAAA